TTTCAGTTGTGGGACAATTGACAAGAAAGTCTCCTCGATGGGTTCTTTGTGTTTTTGAGTGTCTCCTGATAAGATCCATTTAACTGATGGCACCTGTTTCACAATTCCAGCGGAACATACTTAAAAACTGCCTTCTTCAGCAGTGACCCAGCAATCAAATCTCAGAGGTATACACTCAGTGTTGAGATTTTGATAAATAAATCTATCTTCAGTTGACAAAGTTCCTGCTCTGGAACAGACTTAGTGTTTGGCACATAAAATAATTACTATGTATGAGAGAAGAAAGGGTCAATAAATGTTTGACTTAGGTCAGATATTTGCTTCAGGCTGAACTGATTTAGGCTCCCATCTTGGCAAATCTAAACAAATGAAATCACGCCATTGTGTAAAGAAATACGGTTCCGTCATTGTAAGCCTATGTTGCAAGCTAACATCAATTGCAGTAGAGTCTATATGGCTGAATTTTTCTATAGAAGTGAGCGGGAATGTACCTTTAACAGATGTTGCTTCTGAAAGACCACTGTAGACCTTCGTGTCCTCACTGAATTAAATCGATGGCATGCCAACCATTCCGCCGCAATGGAACCAAATTTTGAAGCTGAAACTCTCCTCATTTGTTAGGGAGTAAGAGTTTCGAAAGACAAAAATAACAAAGTGTATTNATGTTTGACTTAGGTCAGATATTTGCTTCAGGCTGAACTGATTTAGGCTCCCATCTTGGCAAATCTAAACGAATGAACTCACGCCATTGTGTAAAGAAATACGGTTCCGTCATATGCATTGTAAGCCTATGTTACAAGCTAACATCAATTGCAGTAGAGTCTATATGGCTGAATTTTTTCTATAGAGGTGAGCGGGAATGTACCTTTGACAGATGTTGCTCCTGAAAGACCACTGTAGACCTTCGTGTCCTCAGTGAATTAAATCAATGGCATGCTAACCATTTTGCCGCAATGGAACCAAATTTTGAAGCTGAAACTCTCCTCATTTGTTAGGGAATAAGAGTTTCGAAAGACAAGAATAACAAAGTGTATTTACCGGAACTAATAAAGCAAACAGTTGGCAAATTAGGAGATAATTGCTGAAGAGCGGGAAGCTATTCGCCTCCTGGTTGAGATGAAAATCTATTTTGAATTTTCACATTGAATATTATTGCAAGGATTGATTTTTTTCACGTTTTGTAAACTGCATTTTTTTTTCTTGCGTGTGCAGAGAAAATCTCTTTTTCCTTTTTCCAAGGGCCGGATTTGACAGAAATAATGTTTCGAGGAAAAACAAAAGTTCCACGTTTACGTTTAGTTAAAGTTTACGCTTTACCAAGAACACAATCTTATAACTCACAGTAAAATATAAATCGAATACCAAGAAAACCCAAAACACTTGTACCGATGTCAGTAATACATTAAGGAACAATACTTAGCTTTAGCCAGAATCTAACAGTTACCTTTTAAACTCGATTGAAGAGTGAAAAAAGTGAGACTACCTAAGCTGTTGTTCGTTATAAGCGTTTTGTGAAGATTTCACACCCTGTCAACGCAGGGGTAAAAAAAGTCATTCAATCGATCAACCAGTGGGTGACAAATAAGGACCCCACGTGTTTCTCACCATACTAGAGGAGCTACGTCATGGTTTGCATATCTTGAAAAATTTAGGCTAAATTTTTCAAGTTATCATCTCCATTTTTAACCATCCTTGTTCTTTCAGCTGTATTGTTTATTATTATCTCTTCGGTGTTTGCTATCTTACTAAACTACTATTTTCGATTCATGTTTCCTTCAATTGAAAGGCAATTTTGCACGTGGCTAAAATAGTTTAAAATACCCTGACTGAGCGCCTTTAAATCTCGCTGCGGGAAAAAAGCGTGATGTAAGGTCTCTTTAAAAGAATGATCGATTCTCATTCGAATCGTAATGTGCTTTGTAGATAATTAAGATTTGCTATAACAACGTGGGGACAAAGACTGACTGATTTTAATGTTCTCGCTCTTAACATATATATAAAAAAAAGATTTAGCAAAAATGGGCAAACTTTGTGATTTTTCCTCAAAATACTCCAAGAAAACATCCACGCAACGCGCGAGTAACATGCGCGGAAAACTTACGCGTGACTCGCATTATTAAAAAATTGTTCATGTTTAGCGTGCGTATATCGAGTTATGGATGCATGCAGGAAGTTTGGAGAGCACGAAAGAAGCGTAAGAGTTGCACGAGGTGATAGCCGAGAACAGTAGCTTCTTGAGTGCTCTCCAAACTTCCCAAGTGCACACATAACTCGAGATACGCACAGCTAAAAGCATGAACCAATTCTTTTATAACATGGCGACAACAACTTGGGCGCTAAAACATGTTTTATTTGTGATTGACTACAAAGTTCTCACAATGCATGGTGAAGGAAAACAAAGATCATTAGGATCCTAACACGCCACAATAACTTGAGCAGCGGTTGAACGAAAACGCTTAACATGGTTTATGAAATTGTCAACGAAATATTCGCTTCTTCGAATTAATTATAATGAAAATGTAGGCAAAGAAAAGAGTCAAAAATACTAAATGAAAATGTAGACAAACAAAATCAAAATACTCAGGTGTAAGTAAACATATTAGCTTGCCGAAAAGTCAAAGACTCGAGGTAGAGTTTGGATTGTTCAGAATAATCTTCACTTTGCCGAAACTTAAACAAAAGGAACTTGTACTAAACTCGACGGAGATTTTGCAGCTAAATTGAAACTACACACGTCATCTTATATATACGCACTGCCGTGCGTACATAGAGATTTCGTTCATGATGGCTCAACAATAGGAATTAGATAGGACTAGTGCCCGCGCTATGTTATAAAAACAATTATTGGATGAGGTTTTTGTGATATCCAGCATAATCAAGGTCGAGGTAGGGCCGTAGGGGTTATCAGCCGAAGCCGTAGGGTGAAATCACAAAAACCGAACCTTTCGGCCAATCAGAAAAGAGATAGAGTCAAACCTGTATATAACGGCCCTGTGTATAACGGTCAGTGAATAACTTCCCAAAAATCGTCACTTATATTTACTGCTAAATTAACCTGCATATAGCGGTCACCTGTACATAACGGACGCGGTCATAAAATTATTATTAACTGTCAGAAAAAATAGTTGTCTTGGATGCTACAAGGAACTCAGACATGGTGTTTTGAGTTGTTTTGGCCACGTACCAAATCTCCTTTAAATGGAAGGAACCTGAAAATAATAGTTTACTAAGATAGAAAAACTTCAAAGAGATAATAATAATAAACCATAGAGGAACAAGGATGGTCAAGGATGGCAAAGATTGACACGGATTGCAAACGACCAATTTGAATAATTTAGGCTAAACTTTCAAGATGTGCAAACCGTGATTGAGCTCCTTTAACTAGATCAGGTGGCGACAGAAGAATTTTTGAAAAAAGCGACAATCGCACGCGGAATGGCAGGTAATTGTCAAGGGGTTACAGCCACAATCCCTGATATCCGTAATCCCTTCAAGAAACATTGGAGCATACCATTAGGAGAGTGGCATGGCAGGAGGAGACACACCTAACTTGCGCACTGCAGTAATGCTCCATTCCAATGTTAAGTAGAAGTGTTGTCATGTCTGTCATGGCATTTAGGAATGTACACACAACAACACATTACGGCAAAGGGCGCCTTACTTTTTCATTACGATCCAGATTTAGAGGATTCAGAAAACAAACTTGCAAGCCTCATAAATTTTATAAGTCTAAAGGTGATGCATGTTCTTTTGTACATGTTTTCTATTAACTTGGCATATTCGCAGCATGCCGACCACCGAGGAAACGCCTATCATCTCTTTAGTAGCACTAAACCATGTGCTTGGCTACGAGTTTTATTACGCCCGAGTGTCTACCCAAACATATCCCGCAATTTTGTTCACTTAGTTGTCGGTTCACTAGAATCTGGAGAGGAAGTGGCAACCGTATGCTCTTGGCATCTTTTTTCCCAAGAAGGAAATAGAGTTCTTGCCTACACTTTACACAGGGGAGCTTTTTCGCTTTTGAAATCCTGCAGAACTAGTGACATTCAGTGATGTTACCGACAGTGGTAGAACCGTTATGGTATAAAGGCAAAGCTCTAGTTTACTGCAGAGGTCTTACAACAGAGGCAGACCGGAGAAGCAATATTGGCTTATGATCCTTGGTATCACTGCATAGCTCTCTTGCATTCGGCCACTCGGACTCAGTGAAGACGATTTTGACTTAACTTAAAATATTTGTTTACCCACTTGCATGTATTTGTAAGCATGTAACAATAAATATCGTTATTGTTGTTACCCTTCAGGTCCAGATTCTTGCTGGCTGCGGCTTCTTTCGAATTTCAGCTTCGAAGCAAGTTCCTGTTTTAGTGTTACGCTTTTCCTTGGGTTATGTAAACCATTTCCATATAAAACACATTTTATCTAACAGTTTTTTGTTTTTTTTGGAGCAGCAAACTACGCCATTTCTCCCCGCGCTGCTCGTATGGTAATTTGCATAAAAAGCGGATGTGACGTCAGGGACAAATGATACGTAATAAAGAAACGGCTGGAAATCGAGCGTATATATATGAATTCGATGGCAAACGGTTTTTTAATAAAAAAAAAAATATTGAATTTAGCACAACTTATGAATCGCAGCTTTACCATACTAGGTAGCAGAATGTATTCACCAAATTTGAAGGACGTAGCTGGGCTAGACGACGCTCAGTTAATTTTTAATTTTCCATACATTTGTCTAAGAAAAACTTTCCCGCGAACCGCGTCTACCCAGCCAAATTTACAGACAAATGTATAGAAAATCACAAAAATAAACTGAGCGTCTTCTAGCCAAGCTAAATCCTTCAAACTTGGTGAATACAATCTTCTGCCTATATATTATTTTAACGTTGCGATTCACAAATTGTATAAAATTCCATTTTTGAAAGAAGTTATTTGCCATCGGTTTCCCATACAAACACTGTACTTTCCTACCCATCAAGATGGCGTCGAAAACCGTAATTAAGCCTATTTGTTTGATGTCATTATTTTAATATCAACTGATATCAAAAGAGAGTGGTTGTATAGGAACCAATCAAAAAGTCGCTTAAAAATATTAAAAACTGTCTTGATCCAACTTATGTTATATTGGTACATTAAATGTACTAAACCTTCCATTTTAAATACCCGACACGCAAAGTCCGTAATTATGGGGGAACCTTTTGTTTTTTTAAGCAACACCTAAAAAACTAACTTCAATAGACATTCTGAATTTAAAAAAAAATTGGAACTGACATGACTTCGATGTGTTTGTTACTAAAATTAGTATATCGATAAACTGAATGGCTCTCGCCGTCACTTCATCAGTTCCTTCTCACTGTACAATAATGTATCCCATGGTTTTGATGTGTTTGATGCCATTATCTGGTGAGTTCGTTGCTTCATTACCACAGGTGTTGGAGTCATCGTATTTCCCTCCTGTACCAAACCCGATTCGGGAATCAGAGGATAAGCAGTCATTTTGCTCGTTACTAATGATGCCGATTCTTGCTTTCGAATTGTATTCAGAAGAACCTACAGCATTGAACCCTTCCTTGTTACATTGGAGCTGCAATGAGGCCTGAGGACCAATCAGCTTCTTCCAGGTGTTACGGCCCACTGTAGTGGCGCGGTACTGCCCGTCAGCGATAAGTGAATACAGAGAGGTGGCCTCCCTGGTAATGACAATGAAGTTTATCTGTTGGCCGATCTTCATAACAAGACAGATCTTGGAAAAGGATGTGTTCCAGTAGGTAGGTAGCTTGGTCTCTTGTTTGTCAAACCCCGTCTCCCCTCCATGAAGGTTGAATTCATTTTTATCGCTCCAGTACACCGAGCTATAATGAAAAGTGTTCTAGGAAAGAAAGTAAAAAATTCAATCTAACCCTCAGAGTTATCCATCACTGAAATATTAGACCTTTCTGGTTTCCGGTTTTTCCTGTTCTTCAATATGTATTATTACCTAACATTATTATAATGGTCAAAAACTTGTCACAATGTGAATATATCATACTGTCCTGCTATCTGTGATCCTTAGATAATAGTTCTTTTATGATCTACGTTGTCAAAAATTATTTGGAATTGTACTCAAGAAGACTCGTCCGAGTTCCTGTGGCAAAATGCTGCACAACCAAAGTTCATCAAGCGGTGAAAATATTATTCGCCCACGGTCTGTTGAAAAATAATGCAGTTGTAAACAGCCCCTCAAACGAAAAAAGTCTGCATACGAGCCAAGTGGTCCATCATAGCCTGTGTACAGCCGCCCCTCCCCTCCAAACAAAATCCCGATTTTTTTTTGGAGGGGAGCGGCGGCTGTACACAAGCTAGCCCATCAGGCCGGCGCTTATCTCCGATTTCTGTAGCATGAAGCGACTAGGAGTATTTCTACTCCCCCCTGGATGGGATGCTAGTCCATCGCAGGGTTACCCCCAGCATTAAGTTTGCCAGTACCTATTTATACACCTGGGTGGAGAGAGGCACTATGAGAGTAAAGTGTCTTGCCCAAGAACACAACACAATGTCCCCGGCCAGGGCTCGAACCCGGACTGATCGATCTGGAAACCAGCGCACTAACCATGAGCCCACCGCGCCTCCCACGGAATAGTAGTCTACACAGCTTTTATGAAATTTGAAACAATTTTTTACATTCCCTTACCTAACGGTTGCACTGTGTGGTTGCTGCGACATTGATTCATGGGTGGCACTCTACTCCATTGACCAGTATCAGGATCAAAACACTCACTTCCATTATCACAATATCTGAATGGTGCACCACTGTGCACGCCAACACCGCAAACAAGGCCACCAACTGCATAAAGTTTACCTACAAGAAACAAGCAATCAAAGACTTATGCCCTGTCTGTGCAAGTACAGCTGCCTTACTTTAGCACCAACAATTTGCTATTGAATGATATACTTGTATTAAGTAATAACTACTGTGTAAAGACATCAAGGCAGTCCTAGAGTCATATTTTATTAAATGTGAACATTTGTCAGGGATAACGCCTGGGGGTGGGGGGGGGGTAACCCCC